CATTTAATACATTCACACTGTTTTGCAACCAAAACATTTTCTTCACTCCAAAAGGAAACCCTATACCCATAAAGAGTCACTCTCCATTCCCCTCCCCCAAGCCCCTGGCAAATACTAATCTAGTTTCTCTCTATATAGATTTACCTGTTCTGAATATTCCATATAAACAGAATGACAGAATACGTGATCTTTTGGGTTGTGTCCACCTTTTGCCTATTGTGAATAGGGCTATGAACATTTGTGTATAAGCATTTGTTGAGTCCCTGTTTTCAATTATTTTGGGTATATTACTTAGGAGGAATTGCTAGATCATAATATAATTCTACGTATTTAACTATTTGAGGAAGCACCAAACCGTTTTCCGTAGGAGCTGCACCGTTTTCATTTCCTAGCTAGCAGCGTACGTGAGTCCTGCCTTCTACACATCCTTGCTAACACGTGTCATCTTCTGTATGTGAGAGTATGTGTTCTCATTATAGCAGCCATATTAGTGGCTGTGAAGTGGGACCTCATTGTGGTTTTGATTTATATTTCCTTATTGATTAGTGATGCTAACCACCTTTTCAGGTGCTTCTTGGCCATTTGTATATCTTTGTTGGAGAACTGTCTATTCAAGTCCTTTGCCCATATTTTAGTTGGGTTGTCTTTTTGTTGTTGAGTTGTAAGAACTTTTTATATATTTTGGTTACTGCACCCTTATCAGATATAGGATTTGTAAATATTTTCTCCCATCTTTTTACTTTTGTGATCATGTCCTTTGATGCACAAAGTTTTTAATTTATCTGTGCTTTTTCTTTAGTAGCTTTTCCTTTGATTTCATATAAGAATCCACTGCCAAGTCCAAGATCATAAAGATTTAACCCTATAGTTTCTCCTAAGAGTTTTATAGTTTTAGCTCTTACATTTTTTAGGCCTTTGATCTATTTTGAGTTAATTTTTATATATGGTATGAGGTAGGGTGGAAGTATAAACTTTAAATCCACAAATCTTCATACTACTTTACTATTTATATACACTAGGCTAATATGTTACATCATTTATGTGAAGAATCTTGAAATTATAAATTGAATATTTTCAGTTTATCACTAGTGCATGCCCTTAAAATGTCAGGACACACGGTCACTTACGCTGTCCCCAAGACACACCCCTGGACCCACCATGCAATGAGGCAGGTGTGCAGAACGAATCCTGAGCAGTAAGTGAGCTTAGCTGGCCCTGCCTTCCACCTTCTCCTGAATTTTCCAGTCCTTCATCATCATCCAACACTTAAGTATTCTCATTAAGGGCTTGAAAAATCATCACTTAAATTTTTAAAATTATACTTTACTGCATGTAATGTACAGGAGTACTGTTAGCAAATTTGGATTTTGTGACAAGTCTCAGCACAACTTTATCCTTGGGGTGATCAAGCACAAGCTGGATGAATATCCATCAGGGACAAAGGAGGGAAACAAGGAAGCAGTCCTGCACAGGTTTAAGACCAGAGAGGGTGCTGGGCATGGGGCTGATGCTTGCAGTCCCAGTGCTTTGGGAGCTGAGGCATGAGGATCACTGAGGCCAGGAGTTTGAGACCAGCCTGGGCAATATAGCAAAACCTCATCTCGAAAAAACTTTAAAAATTAGCTGGATGTGGTGGTATATGCCTGTAGTCCTAGCTTCAGGATGCTGAATTGGGAGGATCATCTGAGCCTAGGAGTTCAAGGGTGTAGCGAGCTATGATTGTGCCACCTCACTCCAGCCTGGGTGACAGAGTGAGACCCTGTCTCTAAAAAAACAAAAAATAAAAAGAACACTGGAGTGGGTCAGTGGTGTCCCAACCTGGCTGACAGCATCGAACAGGAAACTAAAACATACAGACTCCCAGCTCCCCTGTCCAGAGGTGATCAGTGGGTCTGGTTGAGACCTGGGAACCTGTGACTTTCCAAAGCTCTCCAGGAGACTGTATCATTGTGTCAGGTTTGGGGGCCTTGAAGCAGGTAGCAATTTTGAAGAGACACTCTGCAGAGAAGCGATTTGTTCTGAGCTGACTCAGTCAGCGAAACCAGGTCTGAGGAGAAAGCTCCAGGGAGGCAGTTGGCTCGGGGGCAGGCTTTCTCTCACCTTTCACCCCTGAGGCTGCGGCCACCGTGTGGCAGACCCAGCCCGCTTGCCGGGAGGCGCCCGCACTGAGGCTGGGTGCCCGTCTGGGAGCAGGGAGAGGACGCTGCAGTGGGTGGGGCCCGGCGAGGGGCCTCTGACCCGGCCAACCGTCAGACTGCAGGGCGGACAGAGGCTCAGGCCTGCGTGAGTCACCGTGGCAGCCAGCGCTCAGGCTGTGCGGGCATAGGCACGTTCCCTGGCTTCCCAGGCCGCTGTCTCCAGGCAGAGAAACCCAGCAAAACAAGGGGTTAGACGAGCTCAGTGTTTTTCTCCTTCTTTCTCTCTTTCCCTCCTTCCCTCTCTGTCTCTCGATTTCTTGGCAGCAAAACCTTTTATCCAAATAAAATGCTGCTGACTTCCACACGGATAGTCCCGAGGAGCTGGCTGCGGGACGAGGCAGGCAAAATGGCCCAGAGCCTTCTGGTCCTCCTCTCCAGGCCCCCTGTGCCCCCACAAAGCCCCGAATCCCTGTGAAGACCAGCTTGGAACTGCCAGGCTAGACTAAGATGACATCAAGCTCTAGCACGCTGGCAGGTCTGAAACGACCAAGAGCAAAAGAACACGCTTCTCGGGAAGGCTCGGGAAGGCCCGGGGCTTAGGGAGCTGGGAAGCTCCGGATGAGGGCGATGCTGGCCCACAGGAAAGGCTGCCTCCCGGGCTGGGCTGCGAGTCTACCTTAACTCACTCACGGCAGCCTGTCCTTATCTGGTCTTTGCTGTCTGTGGCACAGCCGTCGTGAGCCGACTTGCTCTGTGGCTGATGCAATGAGTCACCCCGACGGGGAATGCGCAAGACACGGAATACTCGAGGCTGGAGCTAACGAAACACCTACCCCGGGCTAGGATTTGCTGTGGGGAAGGCTAAAGCTGGCAGCCACCTGCTTCTGTGGCCCCCACAGACGCACGATGACGGCTTTATTTTCCATTCAGATGTTCTCTCCTAGACCGTAGTTATCTTAAACAGGACAACTAAAACAGCATCTGAAGCTGTTGCCAGGGCAACATGACAGTGGGTTCCCCCGCCCCAGCTCCCCGGTGTGTAATTTGTCAAAGGCAGCTGGCTCCCAGGGAGAGGAAGGAGAAGGGAATAGGTTGTTCCTCTTGGTCCTAGGAAGCGAAGTTGGACGATGCTCTTCTGATTAAACCAACTTATGTAGAACAGGAAAGGAGCTGCGATCTGTGCCGCACAAATTCACGTTGTAGATGCCAAGCGGCAAACCTTAAACTTTTCCTTTGTGATATCTGCAGATAGATAAAGCCTTCACCTAAGACCTATAAAATATTAATATTTGCATCTAAACTGCTTAAAGACCCGGAGCTTAAAGCATGGCTTGAAGGGGAGGCAATGGGAGAGATGGCAGGAAATTAAAGAACGCAAACAGGACATTTGAGTGCATACAGATACACACATGAAGCTGGAAGTTTTTTTTTTTTTTTTTTTTTTTGAGACAGAGTCTCATTCTGTCACCTGGGAGAGAGTGCCGTGGTGTCAGCCTAGCTCACAGCAACCTCAAACTCCTGGGCTCAAGCGATCCTCCTGCCTCAGCCTCCCGAGTAGCTGGGACTACAGGCACAAGCCACCATGCCCGGCTGATTTTTATATATATATATATTAGTTGGCCAATTAGTTTCTTTCTATTTTTATGGTAGAGACGGGGTCTCGCTCAGGCTGGTTTTGAACTCCTGACCTTGAGCAATCCGCCCGCCTCGGCCTCCCAGAGTGCTAGGATTACAGACGTGAGCCACCGCGCCCGGCCTAGAAGTTTTTGACATATCTGATAGCCCTTCTGCACAAAATCATAACCTCTCGTGATTGCAGGCAGCTGTGCTGGACCAGCATCAGACAGCGTGGAGGCCTTACAGAGACCAAGTTCAATCTGCTCATGATGTGGATGAAAAGGCTGAGGCCCGTAAAAGGTAACCTGCTCACGGTTACACAGCGAGGGAAGGGCAGCACTACGCCAGAAGCCCTGTTTCCTGCTTCCCCGCGGTCTTTCCACTGATCTGGGACCTTTGTCCTGTGGACATCAGTTTACTCTGCCTTTGAGAGACACAACCCAGACCAGCTTTCAAAGTAGCCCCATGGAGCGCTGAGTTGTGAAGGCCCCGGGAACCCTGTGCTCTCAAAAGAATGCCTCTGTTTTAATCTATTTTTTAATCTATTGAATTCCCACTTAAAATTATTTAACAGAAAAATCGATGGGTAAAAAAAGTTTGAAGATCATCAGACAAGTCTGAAGATCATTAAGTCTGAAGATGATCTATCTAAATATTAGATAGTGTTGCTGGTTGCACGACCTTGTGAATATATTAAAATCACTAGGTTTTTAAAACATATGCTCTAAAATGGCAAATTTTATTTTATTATATATTTATATAAGTCAATCATAATATATAACCTATATGTTATTTATTAATTTTGTTGCTTATAATCATGTATTTCATTGATCTAGTTATATACTTACATATTCAATTAGGATATATGTTTCTCAACCATGATTTGTCATACTCATCTTTATATGACAATTCCCAATTAGTAGCATGATGTTGCATAAAAGACATGTTTGTTACGTAAAGAAAGAAATCAATGTGAGAACTCAAGGAGGAATTTTAAATCAAATTACTCTTGAATATGTAATCAAAATTTTTAAATAGTAAATATCCATATTGTGTTATTTATTTAAATTAAAAAAACGAAACACTCCTCTGTTCACACAAAGAGGGACACTAAAACCCGCAGTGTCTTGTACTTGCAGTCAGAAACCACATAGGAATGGAACAGAACACTGACCCGGAGGTCTCCCTCGCCCCAACCCCAGGATCCCGGCGGGGAGACCCAGAGCCCCTGGGGCCGCTCCTTACCGAGTTGGTGCCGAGGATCTGCAGGTTGGGCTTCTCCGACTCCAGAAGCTTGGCCACCATCTTGAGGAAACTCTCCACGAAGAGGTTGATGCTCTGGCAGTGGCAGGCCATGAGCAGCTGGTCCAGGGCCTCCATGGCAATGCACACATACCTAGGGAAGCAGCAGCACGGCCTTCACTGGGCCTCGTGCCCTTTGCACCCCCACGGCCTCATGGGGGCAAGGTGGGTGGTGTGGTGCCCTCTTGGGCAGCAGCCAGGGAATAGGCTCCTCCCTCGGCTGCCAATGTCAGGGCAGCTGTTCCAACGAGTGCCCAGAACTCAGAAGCAGAATGAATCAGAGCTGGAAGGGAGCCTGGAGGCCAACTCATCCAGCCCCTCATTTCACAGATTGAGAACAGGAGGACCGATGAGTTATACCATTTCATGAGTAAATACAAGCAGGAAGGATTGATGCCCAGAAAAGCAAATTCTGCATCTAGACCCTGTGAGATCAGAGAATTACTCAGTGCCCAGGTCAAGATGCGTTTGCTGGGCACCTGTTGGGGAAAGGCTCCGTCCTCGTCAGTGCAGGGGGTGCAAGGATGAAAGGCTGTCCTTCAACTTAAGGAGCCAAGAGCTTGGTGTTCGAGATAAATACACAGGTATTTCCTTTAAAGGGAAAATAAAAGCTACAAGAAATTCATGCATGATGTCCCATGAGGTTTCCAAAGATGGAGAGAAATAGTTCCAGTGTGGAGGACGTCAAGAACTCTATGAACAATCTGAGATGGGCCTGAGGATGAGCTAACTGCAAAGATTAAGGAATAGAAAATTTGCAAATTCTGTATTTGAAAACCTCAGAAGTTCTGTGATGAAGCACTATGCAAATGATATTGCCCAATGGTACTGCCATGCTTGGATGAACAACTCAAATGTCCAGACACAGGTGAGTGGATAAATAAACTATGATATATGCATATAATAGAATAGACTACTCTGCAATAAAAAGGAGAGAACTACCAGCAGATTCAACAATACAAATGCATCTTGAAATTAATATGCCGAGAGCAAAAATCAGATGCAAGAATGCAAACTGTTGGTAATGTATATGAAACAAGCAAATCGAATCTACCTAGCGAACAAGACAGACAAGACAGACACAGAATAAACCTGATTTTCTCCTTATGAAGAAGGTGCTCCGTGTGAACTCTAAGTCCCTAAACTACTTAAACAATTCCTTTCAAGTCTAAAACCTGAGTGAATACCTTCAGTAACTAGAAATACACAACATCCAACAGTGAACAGTTTACTAGTTAAGTCAGTTCATTCGATTTTTGACAACTAACTAAAACCTTTTTATGTTTTAATCTAAAGCATAATAACTTCTATCCTGTATTCACAAATCTACTTTTAGGAGCAGCAAAAAGAGGGCCACGTCGTCTCTTACCTGCCAGCTCTTCAAGCACTTGAAAGTAACAATCTCATTCATGATTCGCTCTTCTCTCCATGTGAAATATACCCAATCCCTCCCAAACTAGTCTTCACAGGACAATCCCTAATTATTCTGGGTGTTGTCTTCCTCAGCGCTTCCCTTAAGTCCCAAGAAAAATGCCAAGAATCAAATTCCTAACAGGAATTAAAAACATACCTCTAAGCTCAAACTCAACACTTGCTCCATGTAAGTCTTACTCCATGTAAGACCTCACTAACCAGTAAGGTCTACATCATGAAGCATTTTGCATTCTAAAGAAAACAAGGTAGATAGAGAAAAGAGGTGGGTTTTTGTTTTATTTCTAATGAGGAAGCAGTAGCAAATGTGTCAGGAATTATTTTGGTTAAAATCTTTACAGTTTTCTTTAAGGAGGCAGCTTTCTGGGGTAGAATGTTAGATGTCGCCCCTGCAATCTGCTCCCTGCATTTCCCTAATAATTTAGAATTGTACCTGTGCCCGCGCTGCTCGCGAGAGACCGCATTTCCCAGTCTCTCTTGCTGCCAGGTGAGGCCGCACGACTGTTATGAAACAATGCCATGAAAAGGAGGGGAAGTGGCGTGAACAATGTCAGCCTCTGCTGTCGTAAGACAGAACTGCCCTCCCTGTCCTCTCTTTCCTTCTTCCTGCCAGCTGGGAAGTGGCACCCACCGGAGACTCAGAGAGGAAAGCCGCGTGCTGAATTTCCTGAATGACCTCATGGCGCAGAGCCCGCCAGCCTGCATCCGACCCTGATGCGAGAGAGAGGAAAAACACTTCACTTCCCTGTTGCCGGAGCCACTGTCTTTCTGAGTCTCTTAGTATCGTGAATAGCACAGGCACCTGGCATTCAGGGTCGGGGTGCTTTGGAAACTTGCGGTGCAAATAAAGGTGAATCTTGAGAAATTCAAAGCAAATCAAGTGGCTGATCTCACAGGAAAGAGAAGGAGGAGTTGGAAATGTTTCCTATCGTGCTAGAGGTGAGATTATTGCAAGACTTTCCAGACTTACGTGCCCATTACAGGATGGTGATCCTTCCACTTGTAAAGTCAAATTATGTGGAACAGAAAAGTACTTCCTGATACGAAGAAATGACAGGGGAGACAAAGTAAGCAGAGAACTCCAAAGCCTAGCTGGGGTGCCAAATAATCAGGCTAGGGCTAAGTCAAAAGCATGTAGAAAAAGGCCTCTCTTACAAGATCGCAGTAAAAGCTGTCACCACAGGCTTTTACAACGTTAAAGTTGCCTGAAGCTCCAAGGCCAGGTTCATATGCTGTAAATGTAATAAAGGATTAGCTAAAAGATTGTTCTTCTGTATGTCTTGATCTAAATCATATCCATCACTGAATGTCGGAAAAATATTAGAAATTCTTGATTAACTATTCTGTCTCTCTCTCTCTCTCTTTTTTTTTTTAAACACAAAGCTCAGGAAAAACGACTACAGGACAATCTCTGGAGCCACTGCAAGGCAACAACATGAGGCTCCAATCTTCTTGAGACACCAGCCCAATTTCAGATACTGCATGGTCAAACTGCCTCAGTTACGAGCCAAACTGCTTCCGACCTGAGACAGCTTTGCAAATCCAAACACACAAAAGTAACAGAAGTCATGCCTTCTTCTAAATGTTCTTTTTTTCCCCTAAAGACATCAGATATCTTTTCTTAGGTAACCTTGAGCTAACTTCTATACCAAGCAACCATTAAAAAAAAAAACAGCCTCTATACTCTGCATTTTTCCTTCTAGATAAGTTGCATCAACTATTATTAAATTATTATTTAACAGTATTAAGCTAAATGAAAATATGATTAAATATTATTAAGTAGTTGTCTCTGGGCACAGTCACAAATGGATCATGCCATGTTCTATCTACAGAGCGGCCTCCAAATACAAAGGCAGCCTTGGGTCTTGGAGCTCCAATGGTGAACGCGAGCCCCTCCCCACTCTGGGGTGGGGTGGGGCGCTCCTGGCTCTGTAGCCTTGCCCTTCATGGTCTGGCACAGTCGCAGTCCAAGAGTCCTGCCGGGCCTCACAGACCCAGTCCTGGCACGTTTCAGGTCCACTGTGCAGGCCGCACGGAGGCAGAGACTGAATCCTATAGGGCTGGGGAAGCAGACTGGGCTGGAGCCCTTCCAAAGGGGACAAACTTGCCCTGCAGAGAGACCTGGACATGTTCAGGCAGCCAGGCATAGTGGGTAGGAAATGCGAGCAGGCCGCGTGGGATTCTCTTCCCTTATGAATCACGCTGGGAACCGTCTGCATGCAGGGGTCTGCGGCATTTTGCCATTATCACAGCGTTTAAGCGACACCACGGAAGGAGTGGGGTGGGGCTTGGCAAGAGAAGAAACCAGAAGGCCTCCCAAACCCCACAGCTGAGATTAATGCTTTTCCTTTTCCTGCAAAAAAAAAAAATTCCAGAAATTCCTGATATGGAAAAACCATCCTTTGCTAAGGGGGAAAAAATTGGCTACTTACCAGGAGCGGAAAGTGGAAAGTCTCCATTTTGCAGGAAGGTGAACATTATGATAGAAGTGAAACTGAAAAGTAAAGGCGTGTAAGGCCTAGTTTGAATACACTATTATCCTTTGTTCCTCATCTCCGATCTCAATACCAAAGATGGAATGTTTGCAATTATGAACTTGAACTTCTTTAAAAAATCTTAGAAAATTAGAAGTCAATGGGACCTTAGGGGCCCCTAGTTCAATGCTCTCTGTGTTTGTGCTGTTTTGTTGAGTAGATCCTATCTGTTAGGCCTATCCTCTCAACAGGAATAGAGCAAGGGATTCCCAGGGTGATGTCTACCAGACAGGGTTAGGTTCAGAAGATTCCTGTCAGCAGAGATCTGATCTGGGGCTGGTGTCCTGGAAGGGTCTGGGAATCTGAACTGGCCTAACTGGGTACTTGGAGCAGGATCAGGTAGGAAGGAGCAGGGCCCACTGGGGAGGGCAAGAGCAGATTACAGACCACAGCAACAGCTGATGACAAGGGTCCCAGAGGTGACAGTGGGGCTTCCCAGCAGGTGAGAGGAGGGAAGAACCCAAGGGATCTGGGAGAGAGTAGGGTTCATGGGCAGCAATGGAGGCCAGGAGAGGACACTTGGCAGCTACAGCAAGAGGAACTCGGGGTCAGGGACCGAGGCAGAGGGGAGTTACAACAACTGAGGAAAAGACACAGCAGTCCTGGTGTTTAGGAGGGAGGCAAGAAGTACCTTGTCCTGAGTCCCAGGACAGGCAGCTGGATCTGCTTGACCCCCTTGTGCTCAGTCAGGAGCAGCCCTGGAAACCAGGAGATGCGCTGAGCTTCCATGAAAGGAGGAGCGGGATGTGACGTATGGGAACCAGACTTAGTTGAAAGGGACAGGCAGCTCCAGGGTCAGGGATCAGGATCAGTAGGGAGAGGGAGGTAGCTTTAGTAGAGCTAGTCATTGCGCAGGAGTCACTCAAAGAGCAGTGGCCTTGAAAAAGAACCTCTCATTCTAGGCAGTTTGGACATATTTGGCCAGCACACTCCTAGAAAGAACCTGTTCAGGAGCCCAGGAGTAGGACGAGGGGGCTGACCTCAACTGAGCAGGGGAAGGATGATGCTCCCCATCTAGTAGGAGTCTTGCAGTATCTCTACCCAAAGGTCAGCCTGTCCTCCAATGGGGTTCAGGGTCCTTCTGGGGAACACGTATCTCTTGCGAGCCCCACTGCGTCACCTCTGGGGCCAGGGTCCTCAGGTTAGAGTAGCCCAATTCTCTTTGGCATGGACGTCTCCATCCTCCAGGGCTTGGCCCTGGGCTGGGTGAGAGCTCCAGGCACTGGGGACCCTGACAGCACCTAATACAGCATTCTGCACCTGTCAACACTCAGCGGTCATTGTCGACTGACCCTAGTCTCACTGTCTGCAGTTTCCAGGGGTGTGCTAGCGCTTGGGCTAAACTGGAAAGGAAACATACAAAGAGGAATATATACATACAAAGAGAAAAATACAAAGAGAAACATACAAAGAGAAAAATAGAAGGACTGCTCGCTTGTCGCTGCTCTGTGTACACTGCCCATCAGATTCCATGCCAAGGAACAATACCTTAGAATTCACATCTTGTCCTCTCCACCCATATTTGACCACTCCCGACCCCCCACTAAACGCTTGAGAACCAGCGTCCAAAACACAACAGCAACGAGGTGACAATGCAGGGAGGCAGTGGGGTGGAGGAGGGTGGTTCTTTCACGGGGTCCAACACCCAAAGTTCACGTCCACATGGTCAAAACACAAATGCAGCCCCCTGCATCACAGCAGGGAGACGCAGTGCCTCCCACTGTCTGTGTGTGAATATTTTCCTCTGCCAAAGCTGCCATCCACGACGAGAAGGAAATAATGATGCATGTGGCATTGGGTAGGGAAAGGCAGGGAGGGCAAAGAGAGAGAACAAGAGATCAAATCTAACAGATTTTTCCTCTCTAAATGTTTATGAATAAAGTCCTCAGTGAGGCCTTTAGGTTTTAAATACTTACATGCTGCAATGGCTATTTTTAACAGAATGATACTAATTTTGAATTGCAATTCTAAGGGCAGCAGAATGACTCTAAGTGGCTCTGCTGGCTGCAGGAGACAACGATCACCACAGAGAGGGCAGGCGAAATTAGTATTAAATGTTTAATGTTAGAGCTAGCAGATTAGTTTTCAGTTCAACCTAGGATAAAATCATTTTTACTTGCTTGCATATACTTTACAATATGTCGAGGCCTTTTACATAATCTGCATGTGCAGTATATTCATGCTTTTCTTATTGAGCATGTAATCTAATTTTATTATATAAAATGATCATAGGAACGTATTGGTTTGAGTCCTTCTTTTACACCAGGGGAAGCTTGCTTTGAGATTAGTTGGTGGGGCCTGCACATTCTAGACCTTCCCACCTCGTCTGCACCATGCAAACCTACTCGCTCTAGTTCAAGGCTCACTCTGTCTTCCCCACCAGGAGAAAAGGGTCTTGGAGGGCAGAGGGGCTGACAGGCAGTGGAGGATGGGTCCATCAAGGGTGGTCAAGGTGAGGGACTGCCACAAAGGCCCAAGGGCAGGAAGCCCAGAGAGCCAGGGCTGGGGTAGGCTAGGTCGGCCAGTCCATTTGGAGTGGGTCCACGGCAGATGCGGCGGGAGTGGTGGCTCAGCTGGGTTAGGAGCAGGTTGTGGAAGACCCTAAGTCAAGCTGAGGAGCTTGGATTTTATTCTAAAGGAGCCAGGAAGGAATAGTGGGGTCTGTGTGTGAAGAGCACGGCTAGCAGTATTAACCCGGAAGGACCAGCACGGGCGAGACGGGATCAGGAAGACAGTTTCCAAGGCTACTGCCATAATCGCGACTAAAAGAATTAAGAGTGGGAACGGGAGGAAGGCAGGAGCAGAGGAACACAGAGGAAGGATCAAAAAGAGTCTGGGGGGAATAGAACCAACTGGACTTAGGAACAGCTGCCCTGAATCTACGCAGCCCTCAGGCCCATGAGCAATGCCACCAGGCCATCTGAGCTGTGTCCTGACGTCCAGTCTCTCCCAGTTGTGGCGTGATGGTAGGGCACAAACTCAACGTGCCCTGTGGCTCACTTGTTCTTTTTTTTTTACTGTGGAAGTAACATGTGCTTGAGAGAGAATATTTAGGAAACACACAAAAAAAGTAGAAGAAAACAAAACAAAAAACTTCAGTCACACTGCTCATAAAATGAATACTCTTAATATATGGGTATATAAGAGTATACCCACATTAATATATGGGTATACTCTTAATATATGGGTATATTTGTAGTTATTATATTTTCTAGTCATTGAGATTTTTTGTTATTTTTTAACTTGACTGTAAATACTGTGTACATAATTTGCATTTTATTTTTCATTTACTTAAGGCATTTTCCATATTATATGGAAAACATCTTTCTAAATACCATTTTTATTGAGTAGATAACATTTTATCATATGATATACACCATAATTTACTGAACTATTCTCCGCTAGGTGGACAGGCAAGTTTTTTTCCATTTTTTCATGATTATATAAAACATCATAATGAACATCTCTGTGTGTAAAGGTAGATTTTACTTAAGAACGATTCCTTGGGATAGCTAAAAAGAAATAGAATTACTACGTTAAAGGGCATTAAGTGTTTCTGAAGCTCTTGACGCATATTTCAAAATTACTTTCTAAAGTTTTAACCCATTTGCACTTTTTCTAGAAATGTATGAAAATGCCTCCCTTTTTATCATCTCTTGGTTAACACCAGAAATTATACCTACTTTTTTATTAATTTGGTAAGATAATATCTCAGTATTTCAATACACATGCTCGATTACAAGTCTGTTGACTATCACACCGTGTTTGCAGCGAGTTCTACCTCCCCTTGTGTAAGTTGCTTACCTGTGGCCCTTGCCTCCAATCTTTCAGGGTCTCAGTTTCCCACTAACCCTCACTGTTTGTTATGTGCTATGAATATCTAAGTTTGAATCCTCTGTCTTATTTTTTGAAAGTACTTTTTCATTGCTTGTCTTTTAAAAGTTTGAGTGTTTCTTTCTTGACATCAAAATACTTAAATTTTTAAACATTTAAATCTATTGATCAGTCATTTTCTTTAAGATTTCTTCTCTCTTCTAAACATAGAAAGTCCTTCCCTCTCAGGAGATTGATAAATATTTCACTTCAGTGTATTTTTAATGGACAAAATGCCCCAACCTTGCCTTCTTGCTAGAACGTTGATGGCTCCTCCACACTTTTTAGGGCAGTACGGGGAATGAGGCAGAGCAGGTCTGAGGAGGACAGCAGCGCATTCTGGGTAACACTAATTTTTTAAGGCGCCAGCCCCTGCGGGTGACGGCTTCTGTACAGAAATTCGAGGGGTGGATGGTGCTAAAAGAGGAAGTCTCCTAGGAAGTCAGCACTCCCTTCTCCCCAAACCGTGGCAGTGGCATCAGATTCTACCCTGCCTTTGGAAGAGCACCCGGGACACACTCCTCAACCCCAGTAACCAGTTTCTCGGTCTGTTCCATAACCCAGTCGGCTGTCATTCTCTTAAAAGGACCCTGTGTTTAGCCTAATAACATAACCTAGCTCCTGAAAATCTCTCTCCCTCCTTCGCAGACTACTTACCCGTATCGATGACGACCCACATCACGGATGAGCCTCTCGGAGAGGTAGGCGCCAATTCGATCTAGCTTTTCCGGAGCTGAGAGGGCATAGAAGGTCAGCTTCTCCATGTTGGTCTTCACCAGGCCATCCTACAAGAGAAGACAGCTCACACTCACCGTGGCCACACCAGGGCTAGGCGAGTTCAAGTCTAGAGGGAAATAATAATTCAATTTCATCAGCATTCACAGAGTGTCCATTATGCGTGTGCCAGACAACATGTGGTTTTTGGGGATACACAGGTGACTAAAGCATGTTCCTGCCCTCCAGGAACTCGCAATCTAGGCCAAAGTGTGCTAGCTATAAATAGGAATAGTAAATGATATACATGTATATATACGTGTACACGTGTGAGGATATGTGTGTGTGTGTGTACATGTGTGAGGATATATGTGTGTGCACATATTTATGTATATGCACACATGAATGTACACATCCATATGTGTGGGTGTGTGTATACATATATACGAGTGTACGTGTGTGAGGGTGTATGAATGAATGACAAGGCTTCATTAAAAGCCACTCAGAATTAAAACGTGCTGGATATCCGGCACTAAGATGTGCACAGGAAGAAGGCAGCTCTGTAGCAATTAGGGAATTCTCCAGAGGACGCTGGAAACCAGATCCTCTCCTGCCCATCAAGAAGATGCCGTTGATTCCCAGAGAGCAAGTCGAGTTACATCAGTCCTGATGTTTCTCAGCTCACAACCCATAAGGCATCCTGACGGTGGCGTGGCAGCTTGGAAGCCAAGGAGCCAGGCCCTCCATGGTCCAAGGAGCCAGGCCTTCCATGGTCCAAGGAGCCAGGCCTTCCATGGTCCAAGGAGCCAGGCCTTCCATGGTCCAAGGAGCCAGGCCGGAGCCAGGCCTTCCATGGTCCAAGGAGCCAGGCCTTCCATGGTCCAAGGAGCCAGGCCTTCCATGGTCCAAGGAGCCAGGCCTTCCATGGTCCACGGAGCCAGGCCTTCCATGGTCCCTGCTCCCCAGACACTGGCAGGAGCCAGAGAGACACAGGCTTCTGAGCAAACCCAAGACAGGAGAGTGCTCACACCAAACAGCAGGGAAATGTCACCACCCATAGAGCTAGCAGCTCAAGGAGCATCACCCAAAGAGGCATGTGAGAAAGCTGTCTCGGTTGGACGGTAATGGCTAAAAGCAGGCCCACACGAACTTCCAACTGCCTCCCAGAGATCCTGACTTCAGAGAGATCCACGTGTCCTCTTCATCCCTCATGGCCCTGCCTGGGGCTGTGGCCGAGGTCTCAGTTTGTCTGGAAAGGCCCAGTGGCTGGGGGTGCTGAGAGGCCTGCCCTCCCCACCACTATGGGGAGAGCCGAATGCCTGCCAGAGCTGTGACCCACCTCGGGATCCTCGGGGAAGATGTTGTCAACCAGCCTTTTGTACCTGGGGCGTAGGGCGCCACAGCAGCCGCACACACCTGGAACGGGAATGAGAAAAACCAGTGAGTAACGCCTCCCGGTCAGGCCGGGGAGACCTGGGAGCAAGGGCTAGGGCCAGCGCAGCTCCTGACAACGAACCCAGGCTGGAAACAGAAAGGTCCCCCCTTGAGGTGCCAGGGCCCCGCTTCCCCTGGGGCTGGCATCTCTCACTGCTTCCCTACGCCACGTGCCAAGACATCTGCCATTTTTGCTTCATTTCTTTTGCTCGGGGGTCAGGCACGGCCACACATGCAAGGGTGAAGCCAGGCCACAGGAGCATTTTGAGGCTCCTTGGGTGGGAGCGTACAGAAGGTCAGGAGCCACCGCACACTTCGGGGATAGGACCATAACACAGACACAGCATTAAGGGGCAGCTGCTCTCCCTACCCGCCCCTCATCCGCTCCCTACTTCCTTTATTCTCTGCTCCTCAATCTCCTTCTACCAGCCTGTCTCCTGGGGCCACTTCCACTATAGGATGTTATGTGAAACTATGATAAATTAACATTACCATTAATTATTAACACTTGAAAATGCATCCTTAATGCAGTAAGACCCGGTATATGAAAACAGCAGCACTTTAGGGTTGGGCTGGGCCCCACAGGCCAGCCAGCCAGTCGTTCTCCAATGCCAGCCCCCCAGTGAGGCTTTCACCAATCTGTGGCAGACCAGAAAAGCTAAGGACCATGTGGTACATTTTTATAAAGCTAAATTTACTCCATTGAGAAGACTGAGTTGACTTCCTCCTTTGTCTTTTGGTGCTGTGAGGCGATGGGGTTAGGAAATCAATGATAACACAAACTCTGGCAAAATTAATAAAAGTGGACGACTCCAGGTCTCCCCATAAAGAGCTTCCGTTAGTGAAGGAACAACAATCATTGCTCTGCCGTCAGCATCCCGGCTCCCGCCTCGCTGCAGGGGTGTGGGGAGAGGAGGCTGTCAGGGAGGGGCCTGAAGAACAGGCAAGGGACTGGGAAAGTCCTCCCACCCCCCTGCAAAAAAATAAATGCCCCTTCACTCCACCAATTAGAGATGAACTCTGTTTGTAAGAGCCAGCGCTCGGCTTGAAATGCAAATGTGCCTTGGGACGATTAAGCCTAAGGGTCATTCAGAAAAGAATGAATTCCTTCAGTGGGAATTACTTTAATCACACAAAGAGGCTTACACAGGGCGGAGAAAAGCAGCTCTCTGGGAGTCGGGATTGGGAGGGGCGTGGGGCGGGCACCGCCAGGAAGAGGAAAGAGCAGTGGGTACTGTCAGGGGCTGGACGTCAGATAACTGATTTGTGATCCTGCACCACGGGGCTAGCTGTGCCCCTCGGCCTCCACTGCCTGCGACCAGGGAGGGACAGGCCAGAGAGTGGACAGGCTGCAAGCCCAGGCTCTCTGGGTTCAGTCTGGCTACCCAGTGTCACTCCTGGCATCTCTGCATCCCCACCCTGCCCCTGCCCGGGAGGAGGTGTTGGGCTCTAGCAGGTTGACTCCCAGGGTTATTTCTCGAAATGGGACAGCTCCCAAGGGACATTCTCCCCTTGGGCCTTAAAGCCCAGGGCTTAAACCTGGGGCTGCCCCGTCCTCTGCCTGGAGCGGCTGTCAGGACGCTTGTTCCCACAGCGCCCAGGCAGGACCCGCTCTACACTCTCCCAGCAGCCTCCTTCGTCTCTGTCCCTACAACAGGAACGTTGGCCCTTTGCATTTTAAGGGATTGAGGAAACTGAAACATGGAGAAGTTAGGACTAAAAAAATTCCAGTCAGTTCCTTCCTCACACTTCCCCAAGGGCCTATAAGCTGAGGCCTGCACTGGAGAGAGGCCAGGCTCACAGCTGCTAGAACCCAGACTTATCAAGGGCAGTGCAACACCATCTCCGGTCTCACAGCAGAAACCTCCACATTGGGGCAGGCGGGGGCTGCCGGGCCGTTAGCACCAGCGGGCCGGGGAGGGTTCTGAGGGCTGCAGGCCTGGGCAGGGCCTGGTCTGAGTACTGACTTAGTCTCTTCCCAAATGGAAACCGGACAGCCTACCGGCCTCCTGCTCTCGTCTTCTAGAAGGGAAGCTCTTCAAGACGCCCCTTGTGTAGACTCTACTCCACATCCCCCTCAGAGAAGGCACCTCCCCCAGCACGGAGGCCTCCGGGAGCTGCCACACAGGCTCCGGTGGGAACCAGTCACACGCAGGGCCCCAGGGCACGTCCCCCCAGTGGGGGAGAGGCAAGAGGGCCTGCAGAAGAAGACATGGAGGGGGGCTTCCTGACTTACTCCCCAACATTTCCTTCTAGTCTTCTCTTTTTGTCCAACCTCCTCAGATGCTCTGAGGGCAGGGGCCGGTGAGGCACAGTTGTCAACGGCCTGGACTCTCGGGTCAAATCCTGGCACTGTCACTTCCTGCATGTGAGACTTTGAGCAAGTAACGGTGTTCTCTGTGCACAAGTATCACTCAGAATAATGAAAAGTTGAAAACAACAGGGAATGATTAAATACATTAGGATCTAGTCAAAAGACAGAATAATAAGTAGCCATTAAAATCAAGTTTTGAAAAGTATTTAGAAAGAAAGTAAATGGCCACCAAAAAGAAAATAGATTTTAATCCTGTAGGATCCCAATTTCATGCATATATTTTTAAAATATGCATAAACACAAAAACAAAAACTAGAACATATACACTAAAATTTTAAAAGCTATCTCCAAGATATGCGATTATAAGTGATGTTTATGTTCATTTTTATTTTTTTCCTATTTTGCAAATTTATACCCAGAAGCATGTATTCCTTTTAAAATCAGAAGCAAACCTCTCTGCTAATGATAATCTCCCCAGCACTAGCATCACCGCCTCAGCTCCGCCTCACATCACCAGGCATCAGATTCTCATAAGGAGCACAACCTAGATCCCTGCATGCACAGTTTGCAGTAGGGTCTGTGCTCCTATGAGAGTCTAATGCCACCGCTGACGGGACAGGAGGTGGAGCTTGTGCAGGGATGCCAGTGAGGGGGAGCGGCTGTAAATACAGACGAAGCTGTGCTGGCTCACCTGCCGCTCACCTCCTGCTGTGCGGCCCGGTCCCTAACAGGCCATGGACCAGTTCCAGTCCACAGCCTGGGGGTTGGGGGCCAGAGATCTAAGGAACAGCAGCGACACTGACAACACATGGAGAACACAGAGGCGGCTGGGGTGGGGGCGTGGGGACATCTAGATGGGATCATCCGGCAGGGGCCTGGCGAGGAGAGCTAGGGCTCAGGAGAAAGAAAGACCAGGGCTGAAGCCCTGAAGGTCATCAGCTTGGATGTGACCAGAGAGGGCCCACCTGCCCAGGAAAAACAGAGAGGGAGGACAAAAGGCAGAGCCTCCAGAGACGGCCGTTTATTCCTTTCCCTCCGCCAGCTGCTTTTCTGTGAGGCATTTCACCTTTCTTCCTCATTTCTCTCCCACTAAGGCCCTCTAAGCCCACAGGATGCTTATCTGGATCTAGAAACATGCTCTTATTCCCATCCCCCTAAAACCCAAATCCCCTACCTCAGTGATCTCATTATCTAACCTTGAGATGCTGGCAGCTGATAAACAGTCTTCTAGAGGGCATGTGCATTTTTTAAAAAGCGTTAATGCCAAAGAAAATAATCCCTAACAGTTGAAGCTTAGAGGCACTTGGGTGTCAGGGTGCTTATGTGGGGAAACCAGTATACAAGTGTCTGCACATTTTTCTGCTGTATTGGGCTCTGGAGTATCATTTGTTTGCTTGTGGTTTTTTTTGTTTTTTGTTTTTGAGACAGAGTCTCACTTTGTTGCCCAGGCTAGAGTGAGTGCCGTGGCATCAGCCTAGCTCACAGCAACCTCAATCTCCTGGGCTCAAGCGATCCTCCTGCCTCAGCCTCCCGAGTAGCTGGGACTACAGGCATGTGCCACCATGCCCAGCTAATTTTTTGTGTATATTTTTAGTTGGCCAATTAATTTCTTTCCATTTATAGTAGAGACGGGGTCTCACTCTTGCTCAGGCTGGTTTCGAACTCCTAAACTCAAGCAATCCACCCGCCGCGGCCTCCCAGAGAGCTAGGACTACAGGCGTGAGCCACCGCGCCCAGCCTGCTTGTTTGTTTTTAACCCTTTATAATCCTAGTTTTTGAGAAAAATAAAGTAGGGAGGCAAAATTAATAGTCTCGTTGGGGGAGAAAAGGTATAGAAAAAATTAACAGTCTTTTGTTTGTTTGTTTGAAGCAATTCACCACACGGCGAATCTCAAAAGAAGATGTGGTAGGTAACTATAAAACCATAGCGCTTGCTGTATCTCTCCTGGAAGAAAGAAATATAAGAGAAAAATCACTAGGAAAACAAACCTAAAGCTATCACTTTACCATCTTATCTGCTCCACTTTAGAAAGGGACCTATCATATAGCCAGAGAGATTTTTTTGGGAATCTCAGCCGGAGGACAGGAAACCACGCGTGGCTGTCCACGCTTCCTGGGTGGGCAGTCAGCGCGGAAAGCGGGAGATGAGGTTCTCCTCCCGGACGGGCAGAGCCCAGGAGGGCTTTGGCAAGACCCGGGTGGGGCGCTGGGAACCCACAGCACGGTTAGACAGCTTCCAACCCAAACAAGGTGAATTCAAGGGGAGCCACAAAACCTAGGCAGGAAGAAAACCAGAAAACATTAAAAAGAAACTGAAAACAAACAGTTCCCTTGTAAAAAGAGATTAAGTAATATGCTTTTATAGATTTCTTTAATCTTGCTTCTGATGGTATTTATTCTTCATGTTAGTACCTAGAAGAAGTAGGTGGACGCACAGCCATATGCCTATAAAAGCCTCATTTAATTCTGAGCCATTTTATTTCTAAGAGAGAAGCTCTTTCCACCAGGGTCCACTCTCACTCTCTGGGGACCACGTCTGGCAGATGGACCACAGCAAGCTGAAGGTGGATTTGTAAAGGATCCTCTTCTGCCACTAGGACCTGTCTTACCTAATATTTCTATTCCTATTTTAGGGAAGAGAGGGAAAAGTGATATGGCCAATTTCACT